AAACTAATATCTTTATATATTTTTTAAGAAAAAAAAAATCAAAATTTGATGGCTTTAACAATATTAAGGATGGCTATAACCACATCTAATAATATGCAAATAACATTTTTGTACCACTTTTTTAGGCAATGTCAACGTATCATTAAATAAATAGATACATGCAATGTTATGAATATCACTAAACTAAAAAGACCCAATCATTAAATAACAAATAAGGTTGTATAAAAATGTTACATAAAAAAGTTGTGTCTCATTTTCCTTTTTTTTTTTTTCTTTTACTTTTCATTTAGATTGAAATTTTAAGTGCTTTCTCCATTCAGTTTTAGTAGATTTAATTTTTAATTTAGAATATTTAAAAGTAGTTGTCTATTTTTTCTTTTTAAGATATCATTTAATAATCTTATTCTTACTTAACTCTTATTTTAAAAAGATAATTACCACATAAATATAAAATTTAATGAATTAACATCTTGTTTTATGGGGAAAAAAAAACTAAATCTACCCACTAAAGTTGAATCAATGGAGTACCATTTATTTTTTTAGCTATTATAAAGAGAAAATAGGATAAAAATAGGGTTAAAACGAGAAAATATATTTTTCTCTCCTAAAATACATTGGAAAAAATAACAATTAATCTTAGATGAATTTTGAGTAAAAAGGTATTATTTTATAAGATTAATGTTTATTAGCTGAATTTATAAAAAAATTAAATAAAAAAATACTTTAAAACTATGTTGTTTTTATAAAGCATTATAAGAAAAGACTAAAATATCAACATCCTTACTTTAAAAATAATTAAGATATTTTAATTTTTTTCAATAGAACTTTATTAAAATAACATAATTTTGAGATAATTTTCACCTAATTTTTTTCAGTATAGGTTGATACTCACTTTTTGTTATTCTATTATGAGACATGAGAGTAATTTAGAGGGAATAAAAGACAATTTCATTAACCCCTATTTGGTTAGACTAAAATGTAAATGAAATTAAAGAAAAATAAAGGAAAGTCCCTCCCCTTCAATTTTTTGTTGGAAAATTATTGGTACACTTTTTGTTTTAACACATTTTTCTACATCCATCCAGTTCAATCATTAAAATATAATATATGTACAGTTAATTTAACTAATTTTTTTATATGCATATATATATCTTTAAATTTATATATATATATTTAATTTCTTACCAAAAAAATTAAATTTTTAATGAATTCATTATATAATGTGTTAAATAAAAAAAAAATCAATTAATGTCTTTTTTATTATCTAAATAAGGAAATTTCTACCTTTATCTTTCCCTCTTCTCCCAAGGTATAGATAAAAACTCGATTGCAAGTTGTGGCTCACTATAACTACAAATTTCCACGTGTACTATAAGTTAAGCAAGTTTCTACTCATTAACCAAATTAAATATATAATTTCCTCTACTGTCTATTTAAACAAATCCTAATTCTTTCCCAATCAAGCAACTAGATATGTTGGTAAAAATACAAAAATAATTAAAAAAAAAAAAACCTATTTTGGTCTAAATGGATGCTCTATCTCCAAGTCTTCAACCAATAAGATAACCCGCATTAACCAAATCCCATTTACATAACATTGGACCTCCGATAGTAACACAAAACTCTTATCCTTAGCCAACTACCTAAGTAGTTTAATGTAACTCTCTTCATAATAATCAAATAAGAAGACTTGAATTTTTATCATATGGTTATAGATAAAGGGATATCCTTAAATCCTACTCCCTCTAATTTAAAAAATAAATCTTTTGACTTCTTTTTTTTTTACAAATTAAATTTTTTTATCAAGTGAAATCTACTCAATAAGAATTGAATAAAAAAAGAGAAAAATCTCAATTATTATTTATATTTATATAATATAAAAAATTGATGTATAAAGGTACGTGAAAAATGTCAAATGACTTATGGTTTTTTAAAAAATAATCGATACACTTTTCAATTTGACGTAACTATCAACACCCACTCAATTCAGTTATTAAAGTATAATACAACTATAGTTAGTTCTTATATGTTGTATATATGATGATATCTTTAAGTTTGTTTGTTTTTAATTTTAAATTAAAAAATAATAATTTTTTAATAAATGTATTGTGCAGTTTGTTAAATTATAATATGTATCAATTACTATCATATTTTAAAAGATAATGATTGGTACACATTAAGATTCAATACATTATATAACATATTCATTAAAAAATTATTATTTTTTGGAGTGAGATTAAAGAGACAAACTGAAAGACATAGCCATGTATATAATATGTATGAATTGACTGAATCAATTATTTTTATATTATATTTTAATAATTAAATCGAGATGAATGTCAAAAAAATGTGTTGGATCGAATATGTACCAATTATATTCTCATTTTAAAACATAAAGGACTTAGCTGGAATTTTCAAAAAGGTACAATTTATTGCCAAACATGAAAAATTTTACATAAATGTCTGAAAAAAAAATTTCCAAGGAACAGGACGCGTTCAAAATTCCCAGACATCATTTCTTATTAATCGTTTCTGGTTTCTTCTACTATATTATCGCAAAGAGCACAGACCGATTTTTCCTCCGTTTTCCCGAAAGTTTCCGGTTTCTTCTTCGCCCTGGAAAAAGGTGATGATCATTAACTTTGAGTCTAAATGAGTAAGATTTGGAATTTTAATATTTGTTTGTAATAGTTGTTTCAGGTACAGTTTATTTAATTACTTTTGGGTTTTTTATTTTTATTTTTATTTTTATTTTTATGTGCTTGTTGGAATGTTTCTTCAATGATGCATCGTTGGAATCTATGGTTGCTAGGACTATAGATAAATTTAGCTTACAGGTGATTGCTGGAATATGGGGCGAATTAATTCAACCTAACTTTAAGGTTTGGTTTATGTATTTGGCGTCTTGCCAATAGGTGACCCCCATAATAATTTTAGGTACTTGATTAAGGATTCTAAATGTTTTAGTCAAAAATTTAAAATGGCTATATGATAACTTTACTTGACAGGGGGAGGTTAGTGTAGTTTAGGTAGTTCTTTAAAATTTTTTTTTTCTTATGTTTTGTCTAAAATTTTATATTATAATTAAGAGTAAAAATTTATTTACATATAAGTTTTACACATCACTTATATAAAATCTCAACAATTTATAATTGAAATTTTGTATAAGTATAGTATATAAAACTTATGTATGAATGAATCCCTCTTCTATAATTAATATTTTAGAATAAAACTATTGAATTAAAAGTTTTACTAATTAATGTAGATTACTTATGTTAATTTTCATATAAATTTAATATTTATAATCCCTTAATTAAAAATTTTTTATTTATTAATATATATATTTAACGATATTAAATTTTATATAATTAATAAATTGATTAAGTATACAATATGAATCTAAATTAAAAAATATATATATTTAAATAGAACTTTCACCTTGATTATAAGGATACTAGATTGAGGATATTGTATATATGCTGAAAGAAAAGGATTGAGAATTTTAATTTGACTGTCTGTTTTTGGGTTTACTGCTTTTTCGTCCAAGGGACAGCATACCGTTGCTAGCTTGATACAAGGAACTACCTGTCCAGGGTTACGTGCAAGGGCACATGTTTGCTTGGTTATGGTTGATCCCAATCAGTGTTGCTTAAGGCGCTGGGTGCCTCTGGGCGGCAGGACTCTGCCCAGCGCCTAGGCTCACTATTTTTTTTTTTTCCATATAATTTTTTTTTTTTTTTTTTTGGGTAAATAAATAAATAAATCAAAACAGTATTTAGAAGTCTATAATAAATTAATCAACAAAACTTAATAGAAGTTTAGAATAAATATAATTGAAATTATATCGATTAATTATAGTGAAGGAAGAATGGAATCTGTAGAAAACCCTACATGATAGGCCAATTTAGTGTTTTTTTTTTTTGCTTTTTTTTGATCTTTGGCATGATTTAAAAACCCGGCTAGTTGAATTGGATTTGGTTACGGGTTGGGTATATGTTTTAACTCGATTTGAAGAAAAACCTAACTAAATTTAGTCAACTGACCAACCTAATAAGTTCATTGATCTAATTTCAAATTCTTTTTTAGAGTCTGTTTGGTGTGGCTCGTGAGAGCTTTGCCTTTTGAGAGTTTTACCTTTTGAGTACTGTTATAAGTGATAAATTTAATTTTTTATTGGAGGGAAAATTGAGCTTTTGCTTTTAAAGATATGAAAAAGTGAGTGAAAAATAAGTAAAAAAGAAGTTTATGAAAAGTTTGAAATGAGTTTTTACTGTTTAAGAGTTTTTTAAGATTAAAAAAATATTTAAAAGTGTAAGTTTTTAAAAGTGTAAGTTTTTAAAAAAAAAATTTAAATTCATAAAACGTAAATAGTATCTAAAAGCCAAAACTCCTAGGAACAGATTCAAACATGCCCTTATTTATTAACTTTTTACTTTTTAAGTATTTTATCTTTTTAAAATTGTATGTATATAATTAATTAAACTTTTTAAGTTATTTCTCAAGTGATTTAGTACTTCTAAGATGATTATGTCTTAGAATTGGTAAATATCAATAAATAGAAAGAAAATATTAAAAAAAATGCTTTAAAAGTAAATTTTTTAATTGATTGGTCAAGTCCACTATTTGAATTAGACTCAATACTGAAAACCGGTCAGTCATCAAGTTAGATTTTAAAACATTGTTTTTGATAATCAAACAATGCAATTTGTTCTTTGTTTAAAAAATTGAAAACAAACGGTCTGGTTTAATTTTTTAAAATTAAGAGCAAACCCAAAAGGTTGAGGGCAGGATTGCCCAGCCGCCCAAGTCGCCTAGCGCATAGGCGGCGGCTTTTGCAACGCTGTCAGAACCCCGATTCAGTTTGGGAAGTAGCTATCTCCTAGGTTCAAGCGTAGAGCCTGCACTCAATTGATTTCAAACCTTAAAAGTGTTTGTGTTACTCTAGAGTTATATTAATTCTCTCCTATTGGGGTGCTTCTCTGCTTTACAACACGCATGGCAATGCATGACATATTTGAGAAGCGCATTGAGGGATTGTGATCGAGCCAGAGAGTTCATGAATAATTAAGCATTCTAATGGCAGAAGACATCCAAAGGGTCTTATCATCTCTGTTTCCTGTTGGTTTGTATTATTTTTTTGTTTCTGTAAGAACTAGTTATTGTCATGATGTTATTAAATTAGTGTAGCAGCCTAGATATTGACTTGATTTACAGCTACTTTTTTATCTTTCCGCCTCAGTAGTTCTTCATGTTTCATATTCCTCTAAATACAATGTTTTGGTGACATCAGGTCTTCTGTTCCTTCGTTGTGTAATGCACAAACGCCTCTGATTTCCTCTCTTGCCAGAGTTTGTTCTGAACTTACAGTCAGACTAACTGAAAATAGAATGCGAATCCTTTCACGCAGGTTCAGTAATTATGATGGCTTCATAATTAGATAGAAAATACTTCGTCTATAACTTGTTTAGTTTGAGAAGTTTTTTTTTTTTTTTTTTTTTTTGTTAGATGTAGTGGTAACTTACTTCATATTTCATCTTATTTTGTACGGTTCTGTCAGTAGATTACAGAGTCAAATTATGAGGCTTATTGTGGGCACATTTGTTGGAGTAGTTCTTGGCTTCTTGATAGGAGTTTCTTTCCCAACATTATCAATGACAAAGGTAAATGAACTGATGAGTAGATTCCAATGCATCTAAATGAATTTATAATTATTCATTATTTTTTTTTAGCTGGATAATGGGACCAGTGCTTACTTTTGGCAGCTTAATATTAAATCTGCCTTTCTTCCTGTTATCAATTTTGCATACAGGATAAACAGACAGGCCTCTCAACTCAAACAGCTTTGAATGATTTGTCTGTGAAAAACAGCAACTCTGCTCATAATGCTTCTGATACATCAAAGGTATAAACTTCCATGATTTTGGCAGGAAAAGTGTGACTTTTGCCTCGATGGTCTCTGCTATAACTGCTTGTCTGCATCTTACTTAGAAAGCAGGTGATTTAAATGTCATGCATGCAATGCAATGGCTTTAAGATCACCATTTTCTGCTATTTGTTGTCACGCCTCTCATTCTTTTGGTTAATAACACTAGCCTTATAGTTCACATTGTTGTTTCTAAATCTCCAATAATTTGGAACTACATCATGGAATTTAAAATAAGACATCTTGGTGTGTGTCAGAAAATGTTGTACTCTTCATGCTCATTTTTGCTCTAGCATGCTTTTTACATTCATCTAATATTCTTTACGAATGCATAAACTTAAATCCACCTTTTTACACTGCATGTCTAATTCTGATGAAGATCTGGGTCCCATCGAATCCTCGAGGTGCGGAAAGGCTGCCCCCAAGAATTGTTAGAGCTGAATCAGATTTATACTTACGAAGATTGTGGGGCAACCCGAAACAGGTCTGCTTTCTATTATCACTTTTTATGAAGATAAAACGTCTTGGACTGAATTTGATAATTTTTATTACTGAAACTGGGGTGTGATCTAGGACTACCTAATGTCTGGATCATTACTTGGAAATACCGCTGATGTTAAGATATTAGAATACAGTAATCTCAGATTATAACCTCTGATTTTCTATCAACTGGGCATCAACAGGACTTGAACATCGTGCCAAAGTATCTTGTCACATTTACAGTTGGCTACGGTCAAAGAAAGAATATTGATGCTGCAGTTAAGAAGGTATATCTTCTTTCCTCCTTCCAAAGGAGTATCTGATTCTATGGTGTTTTTTCCTACTCGGTGGGTGGTGGAGGGGATTTTGTGTGTTTGGGTGTGCCTATGGGCCTATGGCACATGCTTTTGGGCCATGGCTAAATGTCATTTTTCCCAACAGTTTTCAGAGAACTTTACTGTTGTTCTATTTCATTATGATGGGCGAACAACTGAATGGGAGGAGTTTGAGTGGTCAAAGAAGGCAATACATATCAGTATCCGTAAGCAAACTAAATGGTGTGTTCTAGTTTTAAATTTTTGAATGGCAAACTTGTGTCATGGTTAAAACTCTGTAACGCTCTTGAAACTTCTGTTGTTGAAGGTGGTATGCGAAGAGGTTTTTGCATCCTGATATTGTGGCTCGATATGACTACATTTTTATTTGGGATGAAGACCTGGGCGTTGAGCATTTCAATGCAGAAGAGTGAGTCTTGAAGAGTGGTTATCTTTATTCTATTCAACTGACTTTTTTGTGTTTTCTTCTTATTCTACTTGTTAATCCGCAGGTATATTAAACTAGTGAGGAAGCATGGGTTAGAGATTTCCCAGCCTGCTCTGGTTAACGAAGGGATAAACTGGCCAATGACAAAGAGAATAAGTGATCGTGAAGTTCACAAGTAAGAACGATGGGACTGGCATACCAGAATTTTAAATCCACGTTAATCTATTGAGGAAATAACACGTTTTTACATTTCGTAATCTGATTCAGAGAAGCAGAGGAGGGACCAAGCTGGTGCACAGATTCACATATTCCCCCTTGTGCAGAGTATGTGTAATTAACTTCGCCTGTTATCCTGGTTATTGCCATGTGTTTTATCCTATGTCCTCTACTTTAATAGACATGAATTGAGGCTAGCTATCAGGATTAGTGAGTCATTCCATTGTGTGCTTTTTATCAATGCAGGTTTGTTGAGATTATGGCTCCAGTGTTTTCACGAGATGCATGGCGCTGCGTGTGGCATATGATACAGGTTTCCTGCTCTCTTGTTCTTTTAACATTATTTTCTGTGGTATCATTAGGCTTTGTTAGAGACGATCATTATTGCCTCGGGGAATTTCGCAGAATGACTTGGTACATGGCTGGGGTCTTGATTTTGCTCTAAGAAAATGTGTTGAAGTAAGGATCCTTTCTCTGCCCTGATCTTTATCCTTTTAAAGAGGTATTATTTCCCTTTATTGTGTGATTGCAACAGAACTCTTTTACTCATATGATTTGTAACTTCTGGAAATAGCCTGCCCATGAGATGATAGGAGTTGTTGATGCTCAATGGATTGTTCATCAATATATTCCCTCCCTTACGAACCAGGTAATGCAAAATGATTTCGCTCTAAATTTCTTTTAATCCTTTTATGCTTGAATGCAGTACTAACATACTTATTTGACATTCACAGGGAGAGTCAGAAAATGGCAAGGCACAGGTATGGAAAAAATACATCCGTCTGTGTCTCTATGCCACTTTCTTTTTCTGTGCATTCTAATGTAAAAATTCCTTCTCTTTAGGAAATATTAGCTTGTAACTGAGCTTTTGTGTTTACATTTAGTCTTCTATTTATTTTTATACTGGTGACAGGTGATGTTGAGGTGCGAGAAAGAGTGGAAAATGTTTCAAGATCGATTCGCAAACGCAGAAAATGCATATTACCAGTCAATGAGAATTAATCCTTCCAATTCTTCAAAACCACATTAGGGGCGTTTGGGAGACATACGGACTTTGTGGGGATACATTCGGCAACCCATCACATGCTAACATTATCTTAAAATAAAAAAATTACCGTAATAATTTCATGAGTCTTCATATATTTAAACCACTCATTAACATTTACATCTTTTTCAACATGGGATTCTTGTTCTTCAACACAATCACAAGGAATAATACACTTCAACATTCCAACTCCCCCTTTCACTTGTAACTTTGTGGAAGGTTCTTTTTTAAGCATATACATATGTGGTTCGTGAGTATACTCATCATGAATTTAAATTTGGTTCAAAATTAAAATATTATTAGTTATGCTACACTGTTAGCTTTGATACCACTTCTTGAAAGTACATTTTATAACTTGTTATATATTTTAACATCTTAAAATTAAAAAAAATTAATTTAATAATTCATAAATCTTGACATATATAAATCACTTATCACTCATATTATTTTAAATATGAGACCCTTAATCTTCACACTCCAAAGAGAATAACCCACTTCAACAAGGGGACACTACATTTTTCAATAAATATTATTTTTGCTGTTAAAAAAAAAAACAAGGGGACGTTAAAAAAAAAAACAAGGGGACACTACAGTACAACATTGACATTACACAATCCACAATTATACTAGTACCAAAGTGCATAGGTTCTCAGAAAATTTTAATTTTCATTTCTTGAACCGGGACCATTCATATCACTCAATCCTGAGTACTGTCCTTGGTTTTATGCTTGGCCGTTGTTGTGGACTATGCTGATGCGGATTTAACTTTGTCTTAAATTTCATTGTCTGAATTTTGAAGTAGCATGTGAAACATGGGTTAGCCGAACAGGAACAATGAAAGTCGATGCACCGGAGGCCGTGCACTGGAGGTTAAGATACGTGGACGTGAATAGTTTCACACCGCCATAGAGCTTGATGTCACAATATTTTTGTTGTTTATTACACCTTTTAACATGGTTACTGTTGTGAATTACTTAGCATTGCATTGAGAAAAATTATTGCCATAGTGGCCGTGAATAGAACTACGAACAGCCTTCAAATCCAATGTGGATATTTTTTAAAGGGGTTGTTCAACTGGTAAGATTTGAATGCATCTAAAATTAATAAAAAAAAAAAAAAAAGATCAAGGAATTCCACCCCTACAATGAGGCACCTCTTCGATGGCTGCAGCAAAGTTTGAAGGGCACATGAAATCTCACGACTTACCCTTCACGTTCCAGAGAAAATGCCACAGCAACCTGGATTTTAACTCTAAACAATCCGCCCATCACTGCCTTAACACCATCTCACAATATTGCCTGTTTTCCAAAAAAAAAAAAATCACCATCTCACAAAAGCCCTAACCGTGTCCCCCCCGACTCACCATGGTTAGCCTCACAAACCAAGGTTAGCCCATTGGTGGTTAGCACGAGCCCCACGGTATTTGTCCCCAACCCCGTCCCCTGTTTCAGTTGGTGAAACCTTAGCCTTCTCTCTTCACAACTCTGTTATGTGGACGCTGAGGTTTCTTTCTCTGAAAACCCTCCTCACATTTAACTGATTTCTGTACTGAATTGGGAAGAAAAGTTTTTTGTGGGAAATATCAGATGGGTCTCTCGAATTTCGATCGTGCAGCCGAAAGGGTGCTGCTGGTGCTGGTTATGAGCACAGTTTTATCGGTTGCTCTGTTCGAGAACATGCTGAGATATGTCATATGTGCTTCAAGTGATGGGTGCAATTGGGAATTCAAATTTAGAGGAGGACCCAGATGGGTCTCCGATCCGCAGGAGAATGCCAGAGAACGGAGGATATCAAGTATCAACTACCCAGTTCAAGTCTCTGTGCGGCGGCAGTGAATGGGTAGAGTGTTGTGTGTGTTTATGTAGGTTTGGAGCAGAGGAGGAGGTGAGTGAGTTGTCTTGCAAGCATTTCTTCCACAGATGGTGCTTAGAGAAGTGGTTTAATAACAAGAACAGCACTTGCCCCCTCTGTCGATCCACTCACTAGATAGAATGGGTTACGATTTAGAGGAATCAAAATCAATACTTTGGCCATCTTTAGCTCATTTACTTATGTTGGTTCCTTTGTCTTCTGCATCTTTGAGTTTGAGCAAGCTTTTAGAGGGTTTGTTTGCTTGGTGTGTTTACAGTACTCTATATCACGTACTAGACACACAGGTACAAGAATAAAAGAATAAAAGGATTGACGAATTTTCACTCTTTTGTGGCTTTTGTGGGCAAATTTTTTGCAATGTTTATGCCTGGGACAAGATTTGAGTAATATATCACCAGTCTTGGTCATACGGCAAACAGGTGGAAAAAGAAAAGGTTAAATGCCAAATGTGGCTCTCAAATTTGGTCCCTCAACTTTAGTGAGTTGCACATTTTTGGTCCCTCAACAATTTTTTACACTTTTTTTATCCTTCAACTTTAAGAAATGCACAACGTTTGTCCTTATGTTAAATTGAGCCGTTAACTCGGCCACGTGGCATTTTTTATTCTTTTTTTGATGACATGGCAAAAACAACTTTAAAAAGTGCTGATATGGATTTTTTTTATGACATGTCATCTTCTTCCTCTTCTTCCTGCACCAAAGACCCTTCAATGGCTTTCACTGTGCTTGCAAACCACCAATAAGATCTGTGAACCCTAGAATGGTCTCTCACCTTCACTCTCTGCAAAATCAATCTCTCTCTGCAAAATCAATCTAACTCGAGTTGGGTTGCCTCTACTGTTAGTGGGGTGAATCCTTACAAAATAATATGTCTATAAACCAGAGAATTTGGAATTCTCTATCATTGAACCCAGCTACTGGGTTTCATTGGAGCCTCAAACCTAGCAGATGTTATCAAATCAAATTAACCTTTCAATAAACAATATC